CATAGGGTTTTGCTCTGTGGCCCAGGCTAGAGTGCAGTAGAATGATCATAGCTCATTGTACCCTCAAACTCTCAAACTCCTGGGCTCATGCGATCCTCTCACCTCAGTCTCCTGAGTAGCTTGAAAGACAGGCATGTATACCTATACTAGGCTAATTTTTTAAGCTTTATGTAGAGATGGTATCTTGCTATATTGCCCAGGCTGGTCTCGAACTCCTGGGCTCAAGTGATCCTCCTACCTTGACCTTCCAAAGTGCTGGGATTATGAGCATGCGCTACTATACCCAGCCCTGGTCTGGCCTTCTTCAAATGGAAAACATGGAGTCCCCATGGAACTCAGCAATTCCACTCCAAGTTGTCTACTAAAAGAAATTTTAAAAAAATGCATCCACACAAAAACTTGTCCATAAGCATTAATACCCAAATTACTCAATAGCCAAAAGTCCATGGGTAAATGAATAGATAAGTAAAATGATGTGTATAATTAGTTCATAAGAAGGAACGATGTACTGATACTACAACATGGGTGAAACTTCAAATATCATGCTAGGTGAAAGGAGTCAGTCACAAAATACCACATGCTATATGATTCCATTTATATGAGATGTCAATAATACATAAATATCTAGGGACAGAAAACAGATTCCTTAGGACTGGTGAAAATGGGAGAATGGAGGAGTGATAGCTAAAGAGATAGGGCTTCATTTTGAGATAATTAAAATGTTCTAAAATTAACAGTGAAGGTGGTTACACATATGTGTAAATGTACTAAAACCACCGAATTTTGCACCTTAAATATGTGAATTCCATGGCATGTAAACTGTATCTCAGTAAAGCTGTTAAAAAGTAAAGAACATTGCTCTAAAGTCCATATGTTTGTCCTTCTTTATGGCTGCACAATAGTCCATTGCGTGTATGTACCACAGTTTTTTAATCCAGTCCAGTTTTGATGGGCAGCATAGTTGGTTCCATGTTTTTGCTATTGTGAATAGTGCTGCAACAAACATGCATGTGCAGGTATCTTTTTTTTTGTAGAATGATTTGAGTTCCTCCAGGTATTATTCCCAGTATGAGAGGATTGCTGGGTCATATGGACAGTCAATGTCTAGTTCTTTTAGAAATCACCACACTGTTTCCCAAAGAGGTTCACTAGTTTGCATTCCCACCAGTGTAGTAGCATTCCTTTTTCTCCTCATCAGCAACTTGGATGGATTTAGAGTCTATCATATTCAGTGATCTATCACAGAAACAAAGAACAGAGTACCACATGTTCTCACTCATAAGCAGACCCTGAACATTTATCATAATGCTATAAGAAAGGGATTGGCAGTAGCGGGATACTGCCAGGGTGGGGGTGGGGGAGACACAACATCAAACCAGGCAAAGTGGGGACCAAAGGGAGGCCCAGACGTTATCTGTACAACAACCACTTGCATACCTAATCCTGAATTGCACTCCACACCTTTAAAATAAAATTTAAAAAAATTTTAAAGTAAAGAACATGACAAAGTTATTAAAAACGGTTTCCAAATGTCTGATGATTGCAGTAGATCACAAATATGGCCCCAATTTTTCATTCCTTCCAACGTTTGTGTCCTTTGTCATGTAACAACCATGCGGTGTTCTTCCACTATGGACGGAACTACCTTCCTACCCTTTTTCTTTGGGTTAGCTATGTGACTTGATTTGGCTGAAAATGATGTTAGTAGGTGTGATGTGACCAGAGGGTCGAACTATCCTTGTAGAGTTTGGCCTGACAGTTCTTGTGTCTCAGCCTTGCAGACACTGATCCCAGAAGGAGATGAGAGCCAGGTGGAGCCCATCTTGCCTAGGCCAGCCCATCTCTAGAAAACCTGCAGGTATTCAAGGGCAAATGACAATTGTTTCGAGTCCCTGGGTCTTTATGGACTTTGCAGCAGTTTTTAAAACTAAATCTGACTGATGCCATTTTTGTGGGGGTTTTTTTAGATGAAACCAAAAATCAAATGTGTAAAATGTTTTTAAACTATAAAACAAAGAAATGTTGTAGATTCATGAACGCTTTTCAAATACACACACACATACATACATTTTAGATTGATTGTTAGAACCCAGAATAAATAAGTCTCTCCCCAAATCTCAATCCTGATTAATTGTAAAATATAATTCTGACCTAATAGAAATCCACTACCTTGGTGAGGCTGTGTTTTCTTGTGCTTAGGCCATATTTACAGAAAGAAATCACAATCCCACACTGCACAGCAGAGTTTCAGAATGGCACATTTTTTGCTGTTTGCTTTGCATATTAATTCTTGGTAGGCCAGTGAGCATCAGCACTGAGTCTGGGTGTCCAGTGGAGAAGGTGACAGCAAAATATTACCAAGACCACGACAGGAATTAGGCCTGAATCACACACCTGATGGTTTCTGTTAATGGAGATGCTGGGTATAGACAGAGCCCTGATTCTAAAAGCAGCAAAATAATCGTGAATAATGCAGACTGTTTTTAGAGAAAGCAAGCTTCACACTATCTAGAGATAAATGGGATTGGAAGAAAAATCTCCATAGAAGGGGTCAATTATTGTTATTAGTAGTTGTTCACTAAGTTACACAGAGCCTGAATGCTTTCATGGTCTTGACTGGAAGTGGCATTCTGAAGGTAGCTACCATTAAGCAAAGGCTTATTATATGCTAAGGATTTTACATTCATTCCTAATACATGCATTCATTTGTTTGACAAATACTTTGAGTATATTCACAGACTAGCACTGTCCCAAATAATAGGGATACAGAAGTAAAGAGAAACAAAGGTTTTACCCTCAGAGTGTTTATCTCACCCTAGGCAGAGGGAAACCATACTCATATAACCAAATCAATGCTGTGTTCAATATGTAGAGGGACTATTAATCTGTTTAGCTTAATGTATAAGTGACAGAAAACGCAAAACAGCAGGGATGTTAGTCAGTTTGAAGTCTGAAATAATGCATCCCAGAGCAGAAAAAGCATTCCTCTGGTTCATTCTGTATAATTGCTGTGCTTTACAGAACTCCATTGCTAAGATTTCTTCGTGGTCCAATGTGGCTGCTTCATCTGTAACCATCACCTCTTCATTCCAGTTAGAAAGAAGAAAAATGCGTGGTTCTCCTTGCTAATTCATACTTCTGAAGTTATAGACATCTCTTCTTTCTATAACTCTTTACTATAAGTAGCTATAGGGAAAACTGAAAAACATGATCTTGTTTCTTGGTGGGCATGTTGCCAGCTAATACCCAGGAGTCCTTCTGCTTCTGTGAATGGGTAAAGTGATACTAGAGACATATCTATAGAGAGGACAGCTGAACAGAGCATGAATGGAATGAGCCATGCATTTCTCATGAGAAAGAACTTTACAGCAGAGAAAAGAAGACGTGCAACACCCTCAGGGAGTGCTATGACTTCCATGTGTCCACGAGAAGTCCAAGTGTTAGAACCTGAGTTCCTCAATGTGGAGGTGTTTGGAGATAGGACCAAGTGGGAGGTGTCTGAGTGATGCTCTCTGCCCTCCTGAATGGACTGGCTTAGTTCTTGAGACTCTGGGTTAGTTTTCCTGAGAGTGGGTTGTTTTCAAGCGAACCCACCCCCTCGTGCTTGTCTCTTTTCACTCGCACCCACTTGTCCTTTGTGTTTCCGCCATGCTAGGAAGCAGCACGAGGCCCTCACCAGAAGCAGACCAGATGCAGCTGCCCAATCATGGACTTCCCAGTCTCCAGAACTGTGAACTAAATAAACCTGTTTCCTCCATAAATTACCCAGTCTCAGGTACTCTGTTATAGAAACAAGACATGGACTAAGGCAGGGAGGAAAATTATTAGTATATTCCTCCAATTATTTTCAAAGTACTATAAAATATGTATTATTTTCTTCACTGAAGCAAAAAAGAAGCACCTTTTGGGGATTTTAAATAACTTTTCCAAGCCATACAGACAGTAAGTAAAGATCTTACTCTAAGTCTCTTTTATTTCGTCAGACCATACTGGCTTTTAAAGGGAGGAGGGGTATGTTTGTGTTTTCTTTCTTTCTTTTCTTTCTTTTTTTGAGTTGGAGTCTCACTGTTGCCCAGACTGGAATGCAGTGGCACACTCACAGCCACCGCAGCCAATACTTGCTGGGCTCCAGTGATCCTTCCACCTCAGGCTTCCAAGTATCTGGAACTACAGGCGTGTGCCACCATGCCTGGCTAATTTTTTGATTTATTGCAGAGATCAGGTATCACCAAGTTGCTCAGGCTGGTCTTGAACCTGTGGGCTCAGACAATCCTCTTACTTCGGCCTCTAAAGTACTAGGATTTTAGGAGTGAGCCACCACGCGTAGCCCTGCTTGTGTTTTTTTAAAGAAAAGATCATCTGTTTCCTCAGCAAATACACAGGAGGTAAATTCAACAGAATCGTATAAGGGTCATCATACTTGAAGCAAAGCTCTGTTCTCTAATCAGATATGCGTAAAGTTAGATGAGACTGCGAGCAGTGGTCCGGAAAGAATAGGAAACTAAGAGTTAAGAAATTGAGTTCGAGCCGGGCTCAGTGGCTCAGCCTGTAATCCCGCGCCTTTGGGAGGCTGAGGTGAGTGAATTGCCTGAGCCCGCGGGTTCGAGACCCGCCAGGGCAGGCGAAACCTCATCTCTACAATAAACCAAAAAATTAGCCGGGCGTGGTAGCACGCACCTGTAATTCCGGCTACTCGGAAGGCTGAGGCGGAAGGATCGCCGGAGCCCAGCAGGTCGAGGCTGCGGTGGCCGGGAGCGGCCACTGCACTCCAGCCTCGGTGACAGAGTGAGACTCCAACTCAAAAAGAAAAAAGAAATTGAGTTTGAAGACTGCTTTTTGTCAATACTAACTCTGTTTTTGGCTCACTGTTTCAATTCTTCAGGTCTTCATTTCCTTATGATGAAGTGGGTACAATAACAGCCATCTATTTCATAAGGATTAAATGAGACAATGCAGAGAAAGCATTTGGTGAGTAGTGTATGTCTAGTAATATGGGGCAAAATATCAACAATCCTTCTTCACGGTGAACTATCCAAACAGCCCACTGGTACTTCCCCGTGAACATGCCCAATGCCCAGAATCCTCCTCATCCTCACAGCCCTTTCTGACTTCTTAATTTCTCTAATGACATCGCTATATTTTCATCTCCCAAGCCCATAAGTCTCCTCCTTTTCATAAGCACCAGATCAGCCAGTTGCAAAGTTCTATTATTTTTTTCTGCAATGCCTCCTATGCCAGTGCTTCCTTCTCCGTGTGGTCTGTCACCAGCTGACTTCAGTATGTCTTATTTAACTGCCTGCTAGAGAACAAAAATCACTCTTTCATAAAACCACTGTTTAAAACCCACTCACTCTCCTGTTCCTTGTTCTTCCCTCTATTCCTCCATTTTAAACCATATTTATTATCCTAGAATTAAAACTTCCCATGATATGACCCCCAAAACTGACTTTTTTTTTTTTTTGAGTCAGAGTCTCACTCTGTTGCCCAGGTTGGAGTGCAGTGGCATGCTCATGGCCACCCCAGCATCGACTTGCTGGGCTCAGGTCGTCCTTCCGCCTCAGTCTTCCAAGGAGCCGGAACTAGGCACGCGCTACCACACCCAGCTAAATTTTTTTTAATGTATTGTAGAGATGAGGTTTTGCCAAGTTGCCTGGGCCGTTCTTGAAAAACTCTCTTAAAGTGTATGCCCCACTTATTCTGCTTGTATTCAGTTACAGTCAAGCTGTCCCAAACACAATTTACATGTTCATCTCTGTGCCTCTATCTCTAGCGCATTCATAGTTGTTTGGCTGCCTATGCATACACTCAGTTTAAAAGCTTCTCACCCATGAAGCCACCCATGCCAATCTTCCTCCTGAAACACTAGGTGTGTATTCTTCCTCCTCCTAATTTCTGCCTTGTGGAATCTTTTTGTGGACCTTTTGGTCTCTCCTATGCAATTTTTGATTCATATATCCAGCCCAGTTCTCACAGGGTGAATACCTTATTCCTCACTCAATCCCAAGGCCCTGACACTATGTAAATATTCACTAATGTTTAATGATTTAAATTGAGTTGCATCACACAGCCTTTTGTTCACAAGTCTCTTAGAGCAATTATCACACTGTGCTGCATTCATTGGTATGTTTCTGTCCCTGTAATTACCTTGAGTTTACTAAGATAAGGAATCACATATTTATCATCTCTAATAAGGTGGTTATTCAACAAGTATGAGTAAATGAACAGAGATCATGATGTGAGTCTGAAACCCCAATAAAAAATTATCTAAAAATATCTTCAACACATCATTTTTCCATCTTCGTTGGAGGTGAAAAGTAGTCTGTTTATTAACAGAAACTATTAGACAATGAAAGCAGAGTGCTTCCATTTGGTAACACCTCTGGGTGACATTACCCATAATCTGAATTCCTAAACCATCGGCATCCAACCGAAAAGTCTAACATGAGAAAGCATGAGAATCAGAAACTCCTCCCAGCTATTCATGTCAGAGTAATGTTGTGTTCATGCAACATGATGTTGTAAAAATAAATGAGATGACAAATTACACATATCAGCTGGAGTGACAACATGGCAATGATACAGAAGTGAGTTATCTTCTCTCTCTTAATAAAGTCACTTCCAGGAAAGAGAATTAATTCAGGGATTAGCAGTAGCAACTGAATTATATGATGCTTTAAACTAAAGTAAAATGTAGAAAAATATAATTCAGCCGCACATTATTCCACAATTCTATATCATAGCAGAAATCATTTTAGGTGCTCATGTACAAACTTCCTTCCCCATTTGTGAAAATGACACAAACATAATGAATTATTATTTCATTTTTAAATGAGCCAGTTTATTATTTGGTGATGTAATCATAATATAAGCTGCTATGATTATAGTAACGTCTTACAGATGTATTAAATCAAAGTTGCCACACTGAAGCATATGGTGTCACATAAGGGGATATACTAATTTGCAGCTACTCAGATAGTGGTAGCTTGAGAGCTCAAACATCATTATGTCTCTTTTCACTTTTTTGAGAAAAAATACCACACACACACACACACACACACACACACACACACACACACACACACCACTCTAGAATACTCTTTGCAATTTAAGTTAAATGGCTTTATAACATGCCTATGATAGAATCCTTTGAATTTTATTCCCTTTTTATTCTTGAGTCCCAAAGTTTTCATGTTTGACTACTCAGGGAATGAACATTCTCATAATATTAGAAATTTTATTTAACTCTTTTAAAACTTTGTTTTGTTTATAAATAAATAGGCTTTATACTCCCTCCCCCAATCAATCAGAAATAGGCTTGGTATGCTTCAAACTGTAAACTCTGTGCTTCAGAAACACACTTTCTTTTCCCTGCATGAGAGTGTGTTTTTACCACTTGGGCCCGAGCCTCCCATGAAAGTCGGTTTCAAGGGAGGGGAAAAGCAAGCAGGTGTCACATGCAGCTGCTACTGGGTGAGTTATGACTGTGCCCACAGCCTGCATGTCAAAAGGCAGCTATCAGGACTTTCATGCTGTGCTCAATTTATGACAGACAGAGAACTTGAAGATGCATCTCTAATTGCCTGGAACAAAAATTCAATGCTCCCAAAATGATGGTTTTAGCCATGTTTGCCTACCAGGTAAATGTCACTCTGCTCCAGTTCCTCTCAGCTACACATACACACATACCATCGTTTGCTCTCGTATAAACTTACAAATCTCTTATTATCCATAGGGGTCTTCCATATCATATGAGTCTCGAATCAGAAGCCCAAGAGTCTCTATAACTCAACTGCTCAGCCTAATAACCTTCCCTCAACTGAGGAAAGAATTCAATCAAGTGACTGCAAGCATCCCACCCAGCTTCATGTTCCCTGTCTTCCTCAGGAACAGAAAGCTAACTTTAAGTGGTGAAGTGCCTAGTTAAAATTTCCACTTCTCAGACTTCTTAGTAGCCATGATAACCAAAGAAACATAAGTACAGGTTGCTGGGTGATACTCTGTCATTCTGTTTATGAGGGGACAGATAGTTGGCTCTTTTTGCTTTTGTCTGCTCTGCTCCTCTTATTTGTTGCTTAGAACTTAAATATGTTGGGTGACGCTACAGTAGCCACTTGGGACCAAGCAAACTGTCAGGTCTAGACCCTCTAAAGGGAGGCCAATCACCAATTACCTCTATATTCTTACTACAAATAACAACGAATGTGGTTAAGTCAATAAATATGCTTAAGTCAATGTGGTTGATGTTCTGTTACAATAGACAAGCAGCAGCTCATAACTGATATCGAAGAAAAGACTGAAGGCAAACAACAGGAAGAAAAAAATCATTGAGGAAGGTCTGGGGGAAGGCAATCATGTTATTTTCAGACAGGGAGATGAAAAACAGTTGATAAAGAGGCAAATTTATTTCTCATATATGAGGGGGAACACAAAAACCCTAGAATTCATTTATAAAAAATTGTGTACATAACCTTACATGTTTAAACTTCATTCACTTTCCAAGTACTCTCCATTTGATGCAATAAACCTATTGAGATGCTTTATCCACTGCTCAAAACAGTTTTTGAACCCGTCCACTTTGATGCCTTTTAGTGCTCCTGCTGTTTTTGTGTCACCTCTTCTACATCAGCAAACCATCCCTTTGCGGACTTTTTTTCTTTGGGGAAACAAACAAAAAAAGTCACTTGGGGTGAGATCCGGTGAATACGGAGGGTGGGGCACAGGAGTTATGCAGTTTTAGTCAAAAACTGCTAAATAGCATGGAATGGGCAGCTTGTTCTTGTAAATTATCCATCATTAAATTGGGCAAATGCATTGAATCTCAAAAAAAAAAAAATCACTAAAGCCTCTCACAGCTTCTCACAACAGCATTAGCTGGTACACTGATACAGATGGGTTCCTAAAAACACCAATGGGGGAAGCCTGAATAACACGGGGCCTGCCCTCCAAAAAATAATTCCAGGTTTTTTTGGTCTCTCCTCATAAAAACACATAGAAAAAGAAGGGTAATAAGGAAATTAAAGTTTTCTGAGATCACATCAAGAAGCTAGTGATAGGTGGCATCTCTCTGCTAGGGAATTCGAATTTATGTATTAAATGAGCAAGGTGTTGGGGTCTCAATAAGAATGGAGAATATGTAGAAACTTCACCAAGATAAAGATCAATAAGAGAGAGTTGCTGGGCAGACGCAGTTGAAGGAGCTGCAAGAGTCTGTGTGTCCATGGGTACAACCCTGGGAAGCACTCCAGCGGGAAGGAGCAGGGCGCCTGGTGATCAGGCCTGTAGGCTCCAGAGTCAGACTGGCCCCAGTTGTACTGCTGCTCCACCACAGGTAGGAGGCTCATTTTTTTCGCTTATTAATAGAGGATAATCATAAGGATACACATCATAGAGCTAAGTGGAACCAGATGCAGGGGTTCAAATTCCAGCCCTTCTATTCACAAGATAGTAACTCTGGAAAAGTTGTTCATCCTTTTTATGACTAATCTCCTATGCCTGTTAAATCGAGGGGAATAATCGTAGCTACTTTGTAGGTTCATCATTAGGAATAAATTAATAAGTATGAAGCGCTTAGAGTCGGCACAGAATAAGCGCTATATAATTATTGTCCTTAATATTATCATCTGGCTTGCAGGATAACCTACATAACTTTCTCAGGGCAGTAGAGAAGAGCCTATGATAAATGGCAACAATAAAAAACATAAAAGATGAGAATTAGAACAATCAGGAATGGGAAATATTTATAGATTAGAAAAGGAAAAAATAGTGATGCAAGAGAAGGGCCCACCCACATCATCACTGAGAGATGGTTGGGGACTGCAGGTTGTGAATGCCCTCCACTGATTTCATAAGAGGTAACTTCTCCTTTGCCAGAGACTAAAAGGGGAGCAGGGAGTTTTCCCTGTCACTTGAACCAGAAGGGAGGTCACCCTAGCAGTCTTCTAACCCCCGCTGCCCCAAGGGGAAAACAGGACTGAGGTGTAGCCCAGGTCCTGGGGAAGCTGGGGACAACCTGGAGAACTGTGAAGGAGAGAACAGATTAGGGGAGGAAAGGTTCCCTAGAAAGAGTAAAATAATAACAGTCATCATCATCATCACTATAATCATCACCATCCTGTGAGAGTGTGTTTTTGTGATGCTGAAGGAGAAAAGACAGTTGAAGAATGAGACTGAGGAGAGTTCTTTAAAGACCTCACAACTTAGCAAGAGTCTTGTAGGCTAGAATGAGGACAGGGAGAGAGACTCAGTAACTTTCCCAGTTTGAAACAAGAGGCCACAAGGTCACAAGTGTGGCAGGGA